TCGCTTCGTGTCCCCAGCCTTGTGGAGGTGGACGGTGCTGTGTTTGCCGTTGCTGAGGCCCAGTGCAAGAATGGAGTTGACAGCTTCACTGGCATCGTATCACAGCACCTCAAGGAAATTGGAACAGAACCGACTGAGATTCCGATGGGTGCAGGCACAGGTTCCTTTCACACGCAGCTGCTGAAGGAAGGTGGTAACGAAATGAAGGACACATCGCGACCAACAACAATTGTGAGTGGCAATAGTGTCTATATGCTGCTGAGAAGCTGCAGCCGTGCAACATTGGAGAGCAAAGAGGCTGATCAAAGTGGATGTAAGATTGTGCTGGTGAAGGGGAGTGTCACTGAGGGTGAAGAGAAGAAAGTCCAGTGGAACGAGACCCATGCAATGTATCCTAAACCTAGAGTTCGTGAATCCTTGACTCATTTATCTGCTGTCGGAGGATCAGGTACTGTGATGAGTGACGGCGCAGTTGTGTTTCCCGTGCAGGCCACAAAGGATGGTGGAGAGAACGTTTTGCTGGTCGTGCGCTTCACCCCGATGTGGAATAGATGGACACCTGTAGTCGATACGGAGGGTGAGGGTTGCCACAATCCATCGATTGTGGAGTGGGGCGAAGTCTATGACCGAAGCATCTTTATGATGGCTCCCTGCACGGATGGCTCCTATCATGTGTACAGGACTATTACGACTTTTGATTATTGGTCTGGCAGTACGCCAATTTCCCGCGTGTTGGGCAATTCACGTGATAGAAAAGGGGAGGGCGCGCGAAGTGGACTCATCACTGCAACCATCGATGGAAAGAAGGTGATGCTGCTCACCATGCCGGTGTATTCTGAGGAGAAGGGAGAGGGTCGGCTGCATCTTTGGATGACAGACAATGCCCGTGTGCACGACGTTGGGCCGGTGTCGAGTGAAACTGATGATGCCGCCGCCAGCTCCCTGCTGTACAGAGCTGACAAGAAGGAGTTGATTTTACTGTACGAGAAGAAGAGCGGAGATTCATACAGTCTTGTCGCCGTGAGCCTGACTGAGCAGCTGGAGCAGATAAAGAGCGTGGTGAAGGCCTGGAATGATGTGGACACCGCACTAAAAAGCTGTGCTTCCACTGGCACTGTTGACCCGCGGATAAAGAATGTGTGTAAAAGTGCTGTTCCCACGGAAGGGCTGATTGGCTTTTGGTCCAACAGTTTGGAGGGGAATTTATGGAAGGACGAGTACCTCGGAGTGAACGCAACGGTGCATGGTGGGAATGTGGCAGGCACGGAGGGGGGCGTGAGGTTCCAAGGCGCAGCAGCGGGGGCGGAGTGGCCGGTGGGCAAACTGGGGCAATTCCAACCGTACTACTTTGTGAACAAAAAGTTCACTCTTGTGGCGACGGTGATGATTAACGCGGTGCCGGAGACAGACAGTCCTGTTCCTTTGATGGGTGTGAGGATGAATGACAATGCCAGCACTGTGCTTGTTGGTCTGTTCTACACGAAGGACAAAAAGTGGGGATTGACTGTCAACGGAAAGTCTCGGGAGTTGTCAGATGAAGATGGTACGTGGCAGCCTGGCACAACGTATCAAGTGGTACTGAAAAAGCTTGGGGAATCGTTTTATGTGTACGTTGACAATAATAAGCCTATTCGGGAGAAAGTTCCGCTCTCTGAGTATACCTCATACGATGTCTCGGACTTCTACGTTGGCGGCGACGATGCGAAGGGGACAGATGAGGTTGACGTGACGGTGGGCAATGTCCTGTTGTACAACGAGGCACTTGATGATAATAGGCTCACGAGCCTCAGTGCCAGCAAAGTCACACTTCCAACACCGGCTGCTGAGGGGCCACTCACAGCGCTGGGGAATGATGGGGAGATTGCCTCTAACCTGGAACCTGGAGAAAAGAGGGTTGGTGACGGTTTGAATCCTAAAGGGCCTCTACCAGAGGGGGCCCATAAAGGCAATCACAGTGCTGGTGAGGAGTCTGGGACTTCGCCGGCTTCGTCATCGCCAAAGGTGCGCCTGGCTGATGCACCCGACGATGTCAGCATGGCTGACGGTGGATCCGAAAACACCAGCGCGATTCTTGCGAAGGACGCACCCAGCATTTCTCTTTCTGGTGACAGCTCCGTTGCTTTCGACAACCTTACACGTGTGAGGCCCGATTCAGGAAGCGGTGACGGCACGATGCGTGGGTGTGTGTCTCGGCTACTTCTGCTGCTATTGGGGCTATGGGGCTTTGCGGCCCTATGTTGAGTGGACCCCGGTGGAGGGGAGTTTGTGCTTCTACTGAGAACATCTCCGTCTCTCCACTCACTTTTTAAACTAAATAAAGTCTCATGTAGACATACATTTTGTTTTATTTTCCGCTTTTTTTAAATTTACGCAAGACGTTTTTTTTTTTTTTCTTGGACACACAAATTGCGTTCTCCCCTCAGCACTAGCACAGCGCAATCCTCATGTGTTTATTTTATTGTGCCCATTTTTGTTATGTTGTTTGTTTGTAGCAATGACTGGAGACCAGTCACTGATTTTTTTTTGTGTATTGTTCAGTATATTGTTGGTTGATTGATTTGTGGATGTGTTATTTTGTTGGTTGTTGTTTTGTCGGTTCGTTCTTGGCGACGGCGTTGAGCCTGCGTGTTTGCCTGGCAGTGGGAGATGCTTCACTGCGCCCCTACACTGCGGTCACCACGGGAGGCACCGGGGTCTCTCTTTTTTACGTCTTGGTTTTTCGCGGTGCGGACGTGTGCCACGGTGTCGGCTGACGCGCAGGCCATCGAATTCGCTCGAAAAGACGCGAATAAAAACAACTAACCGCCTTCGTTGAGCGTCTGCGGACGTTCTCGGCATTGTGTGTCCGCCGATAGGAAAAAGGAATAAAGGAAGGAATGAAGGCCACAGAAACACACTGCGGGCCACTGTAGAAGTTAAACGGTGTCTGGACACCGGGGGCCTTCAGTGGTTGAAACGAATATATCATTTTTTAAAATATGCGGCCAAAATGTGAGTGGAACTGTGGGGATTGCACAGGGGCCTTCCACGACATTTTTTTTTTTGTAAAAACGGTTTTAGGAGTAATTTTTGTTTTGTTGAACCATATTACTTGTGTGTTGCCACTGTGCGTGCTGCGGTGCCATTTTGAGTCTTAGTCATCTAGTTTTCCCATCTTTGCCTCCTGCATCTCTTCTGTGTATGTATGTGTGTCCTCACACGCTTTGCTCCTCTTTCCTTTCGTTCAATTTTTGTATCTGCAGGCACACACACATACACGATATATATTTACTGCAGTGCACGTGGAGGATGCTTTCATAGTTGGTGCTGGCAGCGCCGCCTGTGGTTATGAAGAGGCCGAGACAACAACAAAGGAATAGTGTGCGCTGTGACTCATTCTTCCTTTCCTTGCGAAGGCAGCGCGCTGCGTGTGGGAGTGTTTCTCTGAGTGGCGTCGTGTCTTGCGCACGGTGTGCAATGGCGCAGTGGTGTGGATGCCGCGCTTTTCGATGACTGTTAGCCCACTTCCCGTTTGTGTGTGTGTGTGTGGCGGGGTGGTTGTTGGCGTTGGCTGTTTTGCGTTGGTTGCGGGGCTTTGAGGTTATTTCTTGCGGCTGCGGAGGTAAGCTGGCGTTGATCGCTGCTCTTCTTCATTGTGGGGGGGTTATCTGTGTTTTGTGGGGGGTTGGTTTCTCTTCATCTGCGGAATGAGAGTACGGCAACCTTAACTGTCTGCAATAACGGTGCTCGGCCATTTTT